CCCTGAGGGGGGAGGGGGTCTACCGGGGGGGGACCTGGTACAAGGAAGAGTGGTGGCGGGGGAAGGGACGGAGTGCGGTAGGGGAAGAGGCGGTAGTAGGGGACCGACTCGTCGAACGTGACGTCCTGGGAGGACAGAACACGGCGAGAGGTGGGGTGGTAGAACTGCCACCCTGGGGCGTCAGGGGGGAAACCCAGGAAGACGCAAGGAGCAGCACGAGGGGACAGCTTGTCCGCAGACAAGTCGCGAGATCCCCAGACACGGAACGCAGACGCATCGCCAACCTTCCCCGTCCACAGCAAGGCTGGGGAGGTCTCCGGCATGGAGACCCTGGGCTGAAGGTTGATCTGATGCGCCGCGTACCGAACCGCAAACGGCCACAGAAAATGGGGGGCAGCCGCATGCATCATGGACGTACGGGCGACGTCCATGACCATGCCAATGCGGCGCTCAGCAATCCCATTTTGCTGCGGAGAGTCCGGAAGCGTGAAGGTCTGGCGGATGCCTCGTGCACGACAGTAGGCTCGCAGAAGGCCAGAGGAGAACTCTCCGCCTCTGTCAGAGTGCAGACGCAGAACAGGAAAGTCCGAGCCGAAGCTCCGCCTGAGCTGGAGACGAGCTGCGCGGATCCAGTCGATCAACACCTCAGTGACATCACCCTTGCTGCGCAAGGGGAAGACTGTGGTGTAACGCGAGTAGTCGTCAACCACCAGCAGGAAGTAGCGCTCGTGACCCTGTCCACGGACGCGGGCCGGGCCCCACACGTCCATGTGAAGCGTCTGCAGCGGGGCCTCTGTCGGAGGAAACTGGGAGGAGTGAGGGGTAGCCCGCTGTCGTCCCTCGACACAGGGGACGCAGGTAGGGCCAGGCCCCGGAGGAAGTGGAGGGAGGGACCGGGGAAGACCAGAGACAAGGACACGGGAGGCCATGCTCCGGAGACGAAGCAGGGAGGGGTGACCAAGGCGGTGGTGCCAGAGGAGAGTCTCGTGAGACAGGAGGCGACACGAGCAGGGGGCAGACTCAGGACCAGACCTGGACGCTGCAGCAAACACCTGACCCGACGCAGCTACCTGACCAGACGCAGGGACTGGAGGAGACGCAGTGGTCAGTGTGTACAGGCTCGACCCCGGCCGACGTGTAAACGTGGCCAGGTGTCGGCCTGTCCGAGCGTCCGTGCAGTGGGTCACCCGCTGACTCGCAGGAGTGAACTGGTGAACCCCCGCATCCTGTAGGTCAGCACCACTCACCAAGTTCGTAGAGAACGAGGGGAGGTAAAGACCAGACAGGGTGCCAGAGGGGGCCGCCGGACACGGGAGGACAGTGGAGAAGTGAGCAAGGACAGGACCCCCAGAGGGGTCTGCCAGAGAGACCGCAACTGGCCGGCCAAGCGGCGTGAGTGTGGTGCGGTCTCGAAAGAAGGAGCGAGAAGCCCCCGAGTCAAGGGTGAAGGTGTGGGAGGCCGAAGCCGACGCAGAACCTGAGAGAGCAGACTCACCAGTACCTGAGGGAGCAGACGCACCTAGAGCATCAGCCTCGCTAGCACCTAGAGCAGCAGCCTCACCAGTACCTAGAGCAGCAGTCTCAATGCCCGGGTCGGGCGGAAAACACCGGTAACAGTCACCCTCATCACTAATAGTCACAGTATACATGGCAGCAAGAATAGCATCAAAGTCAAGGTCAAAGACAGCTACACCCGCCCTAGACAGCTCACCCCAGCGGGGGATCTCAGTGGCCTCAGGGAACTGGTGACGCCAAGCGTCCGTCAGGCGGCCAAAGCAGCGCTGGGTGGAGTGCGCACCTCCGCACTGCTCACCCGCGCGGTCGCCGGTGCGCAGGACGTAGGTGCACGGACCAGTACCCCCACCCCTCTGGCGTGCAGTGTACCACTCACGGAGCTGCTGAGGGGAGGGGACGTCACGAGTGCGCTGCTGCTGCTGCTGCTGCTGCTGCTGCTGCTGGCGCTGACCACCACCGGAGCTGACCCTCTGCGCAGCGCCACCCCGACCAGCTCCACCTCCTCCGCCGCCTCCTCCTCCACCGCCGCCACCTCCGCTCCCTCCGCCACCGCCGCTGCCGCCTGCGCCTCCACTGCCGCCACCTACACCTCCACCCCCGCCACCACCCCCACCGCCACCCCCACCTCCTCCACCGCCTCCACCGCCGCCTCCACCGCCCCCGCTAGCTCCTCCAGCGCCCCTGCCCCCCTTGCCCTTGCCAGGGTGGCGTCTCCCGCTAGGGGTAGACGCTGCCCCAACCGACTCCAAACCAGCGAGGTCGGCCGCAGCAGCAGAGGCAACAGAGGGCAAAAGAGGGGAGGGGGAACACCCCTCAAAGATGGGGGTGCGAGGGTCACCACGAGAGGCTCCTACAGCGACTATGCTCTTTTCTGCTGCTAGGAGGGCCTTCTCGAGGAGGTCAACGGTGAGAGTGGTGGGGCAAACCGAGAGGAAGTGGTCCCTGACTACGCGAAGGGAGTCAGGGAGACGGGTGACTATGTAGTAGAGGGTGATGTACATGGGGGGGGGGTTCTTGGCGCAGAACTCAGCAGGAAGCGCAGCGCGGTAGCGAGTGTCACTAGTGCGGAGGTGCGTAATGAGGTCAGCGACTGTGGGAAAGGCAGCAAGGTCAGGGAAGAGGTACGGTAGCATGAGGCGACTCAGTGCAGCAGTGGCAGGGGAGGAGTAGCGTGCAACTACAGCGTCGTACAAGGTCTGAGCACTCTTGTACTGGCTAAAGTGCGCACGCTCAGAGGTAGGTAGGTGGCGACGCACAGCAAGACGTGCAGCAGCATCGCGCGTGGCCCACTGTGAGCGAACAGTGGCGTCAGCATCAGCAGCGGGGGCAGGAGAGGCACCAGAAGTGAGGTCAAAGAGGGAGAGGCCGTCTGCTCTGTCGCACTGTAAGAAAAGCTGCAGGTCATCTATCCAGACGTCAAAGTCAATGGCCCGACCCTCAGCGTCAAAAGCGAGGACACTAGGGGTAGCCATGACAGCAGTAGACTAGCAGTGCAAACAGTAGGGTGAGGGCAGTGCTGTGAGAGAGGCGCTGCTCTTACCGGACAGGGCGGCTCGGGCGGCTCGGCTGCAGGGCGGCTCGGCGACTCGACGGCTGGGCGGCTCGGCTGCTGGGCGGCTCGGCGGCTTGGCTGCTGGGCGGCTCGGCTGCTGGGCGGCTCGGCGGCTGGGCGGCTCGGCTGCTGGGCGGCTCGGCTGCTGGGCGTATCGGCGGCTGGGCGGCTCGGCTGCTGGGCGGCTCGGCTGCTGGGCGGCTCGGCGGCTGGGCGGCTCGGTTGCTGGGCGGCTCGGCGGCTCAGCGGCTGGGCTGCTCGGTTGCTGGGCGGCTCGGCGGCTGGGCTGCTCGTAGGAGTAGGCGCGGGGGCCGTAGGAGCAGGCGCCGGGGCCGTAGGAGCAGGGGCCGGGGCCGCTAGTGCGGCGGATCGGGGCCGCGAGGGCGGCGGATCGGGGCCGCGAGGGCGGCGGAGTAGGGGCCGCGAGGGCGGCGGAAGTAGGGGCCGCGAGGGCGGCGGATCGGGGCCGCGAGGGCGGCGGATCGGGGCCGCGAGGGCGGCGGAGTAGGGGCCGCGAGGGCGGCGGATCGGGGCCGCGAAGGGCGGCGGATCGGGGCCGCGAGGGCGGCGGAGCGGGGCCGCGAGGGCGGCGGAGTAGGGGGGGGGCCGCGAGGGCGGCGGATCGGGGCCGCGAAGGGAGGCGGCCGGCGCCGCGAGGGTGGGGCCGCGGGGTCGCTAGGGTAGGGCGACAGAGCCGCGAGGGCGGCTCGAAGGGGCCGCGAGGGCGGCGCGAAGGGGCCGCTAGGGCGGCGCGAGAGAGGGGAGCGCGACTCGGGCAGGGGCTGAGTGCGCTCCGGGCAGGAAAAAAAAAAAAACGGTGGGCCCTAGGAACAGTTCCCACGAGGGAACCTGCTCGATACCATGAGAAGAAACAAGGAATGAATGAACTATGAATGAATTGGGTACAAGTACTAACCCTAATTGGGTTGTACCCCTTATGGGCTACCCCACTATAGCCTACACAATATGCATGAGCTATAATATTCTGACACTGTATGCACTGCTAGCGCCACACGGCGGAGCGAGGGGAAACGGGAGAGCGGAGTGGGCGTAGCGAAAAGCAGATGTACATGAGACTACTCGTGTGAAGAGTTGTAGGTTAGAAGACTGCAACCGCCCACCCATCCACCCACCCTCCCACCTACCCACCCACCTATCATCCAGTGCTGGATATATAGTGTCACATCTTCTTCACCCTTCCCTTTCCCCCATTCCTTCCGCGCCTCGCCTCCCACTCTCGCCCCGCCTCTGCTGCCAGCTCAAACAGGTCTGCCCGACGCAACCCCACCTCCCCTACCACTCCTCTTGCGGCGTCATCAAACGGTCTTGCGCCTAGTGCCATTCCCCTTTCATTCCCCGCATTCCTGCCCTCACTCCCCCCGCCTTCTCCGCCTCCGGAAACAATGGCGGAGAGGAGGGAGGTTTGGAGGGGGGGAAGGAAGAGGCGACGTAGACAGGCGAGCGCGAGGGCGGCGGAGAGCCCTGCAAGAGCGTGCAGCCAGGGGGAAGCGGGGAGACGCATGGCGAGGGAAGCGCGCAGCTACAGGGAGGCGAATGGGGAAATTGCAGAGCGCGATGAAAGGCAAGGGGGATGACCCCGCGAGTTTTTTTCGGATAGGAAAGGCAAGCAATGCGCTTTCGTTGTGAGACGAAAAGAGGCTCTCGCATGCTAGTGTGATGTTTTAGAAAAGGAAACAAGGATGGAGAAGAGGGGCATCGATCCCCATACCTTTCGCATGCTAAGCGAGCGCTCTACCATCTGAGCTACATCCCCACATCGAATTACAAAACAAAAATATAAGTTCTCGTTTTTGCTTCTCGCACTGCCACACATCAACAGCGCTCCCTTTTCTCGCTTTATCCGTCTTGTAAACCTTGTGTGCCACGCCGCGCGCTCTTTGCAGCCTGCTGACTCGTGGATTGCTCGAGAGGTATGGTAGGCGTAGTGACACCGACCAGAGTGTCTCACGCGTACTGCTCTACTCCTCGTCAAGCCCGTCGGCCCACCATCTCTCTCGTCGGCCTGCCGCCTTTCCCATCGCCCCCCCATCCCTTTTGCTGATGTCTTCTTCCCACGCGCGCCGGTCCGTCGCATTGAGCACCTGCCGCCTGCCTGCCATCCCGCGTGATGGCGGCTCGCGTTGCCCATCTCTCGCCTCCCTCGCGCTGATAGCTTTGTCTCCCACACTCAGGCGGTGAACTCGCCAACAGCGGCGATGAGTTAGCTTGTGAGGAAATACCTTGTACGCACCACACACCCACAAGCGCGCATAGCCTCTACTCGGGATGCTTCCACATCGCCGCTCCTGCCTCGTTCGTCTCACGCGGCCCCCCCCTCTCCCCTCATCTCCCCCCTCTCCCTTCATCTCCCCCTCTCCCTTCATCTCCCCCTCTCCCTTCATCTCCCCCTCTCCCTTCATCTCCCCCCCTCCCTTCATCTCCCCCTCTCCCTTCATCTCCCCCTCTCCCCTCATCTTCCCCTCTCCCCTCATCTCCCCCTCTCCCCTCATCTCCCCCTCTCCCCTCATCTCCCCCTCTCCCTTCATCTCCCCCTCTCCCCTCATCTCTCCCTCTCCCCTCATCTCCCCATCTCCCCTCATCTGCCCCCACTTCCCTAATCTCCCCCCTCTCCCGTCTGTTTCCACCCCACCCTCTCCCATTCCGCCCATCTCCCCGCTCCCAAGGAATGCCAGGCATGCGCTGCGTGTGCCGTGTTGCTTTCCTCTCCGTGTCGCTCACATCGCCACGCCATGCTGCTGGGCGCCGCACCAAGCCACGCCATGCCTGTGTCGTCTTGCATCTCTGCCTGCGCACCGGGGCTGCCTGCCCACCCACCTCTGCCACCACCGCCACAGCAAGCGCCGCCACGTCATCAGGTGCCGCCATGCCGCCATGACTCACCCTCATCCGCGCCGTCCTCACGCGCCACCTCGCGTCGCCGCTGCTGCGCCTCGCCCCCCCCCCTCTCTCGCCTCTTCAAGTGTGGAGCATGGCATGCGGGTCGTGGCGGACTCCACCCCGAGCGCAACGGAACTCTGTGTGGATTGGATTCAGCAGACTCACTAACGACCAGCAACACCATTCCAGCTCAAAAACAACTGCACCTACTCTTCCGCGGCAAGCTTCCTGGTATGGGTTTCAGAATTGCAACGGTAGATTGGTATGTCCACCACATTCAATAAGGGCGTATCCAACTTCGGGTCATAAGGCACTGTTTGGGTCATCAGTACACTTTGGGTCATGGGAGGACCAATGGTATTCGAGTAGTATAACCAAAATGCGCCTGATTGGTCGTCCAAGAATCTCGGATGACCCGAACAGTGCCGATGACCCGAAGTTGGATACGCCCTAAGTGACTTCCTCCCCTCTCGCCCGTCCAACAGGCTTCGACTACAACAAAGCTGTAAAGCATGCATCCGCAGCAACCATGCATCCGCAGCAACCATGCATCCGCAGCAACCATGCATCTGCAGCAACCATGCACCCGCAGCAACCATGCATCCGCAGCAACCATGCATTCACAGAGAATCACAACGTGTACTTCCATCAAGCCCTCGGCAACACACTCCGGGACGACAACTGGCAGAGCTCGTGCATGTGGCAGGCTGTGGCTGTGCTTCCCTTGAGCACAGTTGAGTGCAAGGGAGGCTTCCTTTGAGCACAGTCGAGTGCGAAGGAGGCTTCCCGAAGCAGAGTGTGATAAAGACTTCGGGTCGGGGGGCATTGGCGACATCAATCTAGGACATCTCATGCGATGCCTCCTGCTGGAGTAGCATGTCCACTGGTTTGACTTTGCTGCTGTGTTCATGGGGGAGGTGTGTCGGCTACATTAGGGTGGAGCAGGAGCAACCACGTTGGGATGGCAGCAGCCACGTTGCTGCAGTGCACGACAATTCAGCGTGGGTGAAGAAACGGGTTTTGGCTTTATGTGCTAGTGTAGCTCAAACTTTATCTGAATTTGGCCTGATTCCATAAATGTCGCCGAAAATTTTACACTGGGAGAACTTTCACCCTGATTGGCAAGAGTGACAGAAGTCCAATTTTTTCCCTGGACTGGACCCTTCATTCCCAAGCAGCCATGACATCTACGCCCAGGAGAGGGCCTGGGAGCGTGTGACGGGGGCAGCTTCAGTCAGTCCTGAGGTGCGAGCTAGTCTGCCTTGTTTGCTTCGGCGATCAGCGCATGCAGAATGCAAAACACGTCCTTGCGGTTCTCCTCCCGGTGGCGGTACCTGTAGTGCGCCGTCCATGCACATGGCCAACCATCCCCATGCACATACATGTACGCACGCACATACATGCACGCACGCACACACATGCACGCACGCACACACAGGCACGCAAGCACATACATGCATGCGCGCGCGCGCGCGCGCACACACACACACACACACACATGCACACATACATGCATACGAGCAAGCACTATGAAATCTCATGACCAAAACCGAGTCCTCTTGCAGCTAAGGCCGCTATCACTGAAGGTCAATCAGGTGGCACGCACCTCTCGCTGACGATGGTGAGCTCGTCGCGGTGGGTGTTGTAGCGCCGCCCCAGCAGCGCGCGCTTGCGCTCCTTGGCGACGCGGGAGAGGTGCAGCTCGCCTCGCGCACCAACACGCTCACCTTCACCACGCGCTTCTCCGGGTGCCACGCGTCGCCTCCTGCCGGTAGCACAGCAGGGGGCAGGCAGGGTATGCAGGGGTTGTGGTGTGGGTGAGGTAATGAATGGAAGCATGCACGAATGATGGCAGCAAGGCAATGGCATGCAATGAAACATGGTAACACAACAACTCGTGTCCGAAGATGCGGGAGTATGAAAAAAAATCTGGAAAGATATCAAAAGCATACGGAGAAACATGGCGCCATGGCACAGTGGCAGCAGAGAGCAGCGGTGCATGCATGCATGCATGCGGTGGACTCACCCCGCCCCAGCACCATCAGTGTCTCCCATATCAACTAAGGACCCTCCCCCTCATCCTCCTCCTCCTCCCCATCGCCTCCTAACGCGTCCACTGCACAGAGAAGTTGCAGGATCCAGGACGACAACATGCGGGGAACAGCACAGCGGGTAAGCACAAAGGATAAGCACGGAGGGTGAGCACAGGGGTTAAGCACAAAGGGTAAGCACAGAGGGTAAGCGCAGAGGATAAGTACTGAGGTTGAGCACTGAGGTTTAGCGCAGAGAATAATTACTACTGAGGTTGAGCACTGAGTTTTAGCGCAGAGTATAAGTACTACTGAGGTTGAGCACTGAGGTTTAGCGCGGAGAATAAGTACTACTGAGGTTGAGCACTGAGGTTTAGCGCGGAGAATAAGTACTACTGAGGTTGAGCACTGAGGTTTAGCGCAGAGAATAAGTACTGAGGTTGAGCACTGAGGTTTAGCGCAGAGAATAAGTACTGAGGTTGAGCACAACGGGTCGGTATTGTATCAGAGAAGGAAAGGAGAGTGCAAGGAGTTTCACAGGTGTGGCGGGAACAAGTGCACCCTCTTAACCATGCCTCCACCTTCCGCACAAACCTATGTTCCTCTCTCCGCCTGCCTTCCTGCTCGTTCCCCTTGTGTAATCGTCCCTACCTGACAGCCCGGAGTGCAGGGTCGCCGAGCCACTGGTAGACCACCCCGCGCGCGGCGTAGAGGTGGCGGTGGTGCGCGGCGTAGAGGTGGCGGTGGTGCGCGGCGTAGAGGTGGCGGTGGTGCGCGGCGTAGAGGTGGCGGTGGTGCGCGGCGTCCGCGGGCTCCTCGAAGCCCTTCGCCGCCTCCGCCACGTCGTCCCCGTACATCCCGTACTGCCGCCGCCTCCGCTACCGCCCCGCCCCCACGCCCTGCACCGTCGCCAGATATGGCGCAATGGTCGCGGGCGGCGCTGGCGGGTTCGCGGGGGATTGGAAGGGCGAAGCGGGAGGGTTGGGGGCGGAAGGGGAATGGTTGGGAGCGGACGGAGAAGTGTCCCATAGTGTCCCAGGAGGGGGGTGGGTGATGGGTGAAGAGGGATCGTGACACGCAACGGGCGGCGACGTGGCCGCGAGCGGAGTGAGCAAGGGGAAGAAACACTCACACGTATCAGCCGCGTCAGCCACGTCACCCGACGCTTCTCCCTCCACCGCCACAGCTGCCGGTGGCAACTCGCCGCCCTGACCGTCGGTTTCGCTGCCATCATCTCCACCGCCTCCCGCGCCATTGACCGCGCTCCGCCTCCTCACTCCGCCCGTCCCCATTCCTAAACCCGTTTGTCCGCCTGCCACACTCAACCATCTCGAAGCGCCCGCGATTGAGAGGGTCTTGGGCGAATCAAGCGCAAGAGGTCGGCTTTCGTCGACGGCGCGAGAGGGCGTTTGCGGCGGGCATGCGGCCGAGTCGCATAGCTTGGATCTTGTCGCGGAGGTGACGCCAGGCGATGGGTGCGCGGAAGGGACGAGAGCTGCTGGGGAAGCGGCCGCCTGAGGCAAACGGCAGAAAGATCTGTGGACGGACGCGGACGTGACATGTCACATGGAGCAGACGAGTAGACATAAACGCAGCGTTGCGGATTGATGAGAGGCAGAATTGCGTTCAGGGAACGGAGCGAAGGTGTTATGGGCTGTGGAATTGGAAGCTTTGTTTGAACTCGTTTCAAATTGAGCTTCCGAGCGAAATCAGGCCTCAGCATGAATAATCTCTGCCATGTTTAGGGCGTGTCTTGCTTGGCGAAAGTACATTCTTTTGGGACTGTTACTCGATAACACCCTGTAACACGTGTCAGACAGACAGACAGACGGTCACTTCTGGATTCGTTTCTGATAGACGTTTGTTTGACGTGTCCGGTTTCGTGTGCATCACGCACCACGCAGTCGAGCACAAGACATGTATGTACACATTTCGGGATTTGCCAGTACAGAAGTAGCGAATATAACGAAGGCAACAACAAACTGGAGCCGCACCACATTGCCAAATTTTCCCGTGTATCGCGAAATATATGGAATGGAGAGACTTGCGGTTACAACCGCGGGGTTTTTCGTGCACTATGATGTTTTTTTTGTTCTGCACATTATCGAACGTATGCAAAATTGAACACGCTTGGCAAACGTGATCGCGAGCAGTCGACTGAAAGCTCGACGTGTGTTCAATATCCATGTTTGTTTCCCTTGATTTGGCCTGATGTTGACGAACGTCGCCATCCATACTCAACGAGATTCGCGAGACAGGATATCACTCTATGTTCGAGCAGTTTTTCGACCTTTGACCATCAAAGAAACGCGCCATAAGATGCCCCTTACACAGGAGCCGTACATATAACGGCGACCCGCCTGCTTATTCGGCATCAACGTACTCACCATTGAGGCCTCGTTCATGCGTTGGCCTAACATGTAGGTGCGGAGTGACCGTTGCCAAGTCACCGTTGCAGAGTTATAGTCGCGGATTCACTGGTACTAATAAATTCGCAGGAGTCTTACACTGGGCTAGAGCAGCCGCAATAAAGTTCCGAATAGAGGACCTCGGCGTGTACTTCCCGTACGAGTACATCTACCCGGAGCAGTACGAGTACATGGTGGAGTTGAAACGTACGCTGGACACCAACGGCCACTGCGTGCTGGAGATGCCGATGGGCACGGGCAAGACCATCACACTGCTGTCACTCATCACATCGTACCAGATGGCGCGCAAGGGCACGGGCAAGCTCGTGTATTGCCCGCGCACCGTGCACGAGATGGAGAAGGCGCTCGCCGAGCTCCGCCTGCTGCACGCCTACCAGCAGACTGCGCTCGCAGGGAAGCCGCCGCCGCCGCCGGCGCGGGGGGAAACAGCGCAGGGGGGAAAGGCGCGAGCGGAGTCCCGCGGATATTAGCCCTGGGGCCGAGCTCGCGCAAGAACCTGTGCATCCACCCGGTGGTGGCGGGCGAGGGATCGCGCGCAAGAACCTGTGCATCCACCCGGTGGTGGCAGTCGAGGGGTTGCGCGAGAGCGTGGACGCGGGGTGCCGCAAGTGCACGGCCTCTTGGGTGCGCGCGGCCGCGCTGGAGAACCCCGACATCGAGGTCTGCACCTACTTTGACCAGTTTGACCGCAAAGGACAAGAAGCCGCTCTGCTGCCCGGAGTGTAAACGCTCCAGGACCTGCGGGTGTTTGGGCGGAAGAAGGGGTGGTGCCCGTATATCCTGGCACGACATATGATCAATTTCGCTAACGTGGTGGTCTACAACTACCAGTACCTGCTGGACCCCAAGGTGTCGGGGATAATCTCGCGGGAGCTGGAGCGGGAGAGCATTGTGGTGTTTGACGAGGCCCACAGCATCGACAACGTGTGCATTGAGGCTTTAAGCGTCAACGTGCGCCAGCAGACCATTGATGGCGCGAACAGGAACCTCGCCCGGCTCAACACAACCGTTAAGCCGTGAGACGCGGGAGAGCGTCCTTGGAAAGCTTGTTCGCCTCGGTATGTGGATTGAGAGGTGAGGGCAGGGAGCAGCAGAGGAGGAAAAGAGGGCGAGGAAGGGCAGAGTGAGAGTGGCGGTCTACAGAGTCGTTTTGTGACCCAAGATTGCGCAATCATTGCGATTCTGCTGCGCAATCCTAAGGTGCAGTGCACGTTTATTTGCGATGCGGCTGTCAGGTTCGAGGCAAAGGATGCAGAGAGGCTGAAGGAGGAGTACCAACGACTGGTGGATGGACTGGCGCAGAGAGGCAACCTGCCAGGTGAGGTCATCGCCACCCACCGTACTTGCCATAGCCACTCGCGAGGAACAGAGAGGAAGATTGCCAGGTGCTTGAGAATATGGTCTCAATGCCATTTGCTTGCCACCAGCACTCACTCACTCACGCACAATACTCCATCTCCTTCTCCCTTTCCCTGCTCGCTCCAACTCATCTCTCCTCTCCTCCCTCTCCTCTCCCCATTCTCCCCTCTCCCTCCTCCGCTGTCTCGCCTTTCCCGTCGTCCCACTCCCCTCGCTTGTGTTTCTTCTCCCCTGCCCCTCGCACACCCACCACCTTGGCGCTCCCACCCACCTCCCACAAAGTCCATCTCACCACCTCCTCCCTCAGTCACCCCACCCAACTCCTACCAAGCTAACCAACCAACCATCTACTCTCTCATCAACTCACCCTACCCACCTATCTCCCCATCCGCACCAGCCCGCCAATCAGCATCGGACATGCGGCTGGCAAACCCACTGCTGCCAGCGGACATCCTACAGGAGGCGATGCCGGGCAACATCCGCCATGCCGAGCACTTCCTCGCCTTCCTGCGCAGATTCCTCAGCTACCTGCAGACGCGCCTCAACACCACGCGCGTCGAGTCCGAAGGGCCCCTCGCCTTCATGCATGCCCTGCAGGCGAGTGAGTCAAAGCCACTCCATACAGCGGCCCTCGTTCCGTGCGTCACCTGCACTTGTTCTCTTTACATCCCACGACAGGAATGCTATGGCTGAACGTTCCATTCATGTGTGAACCTTCCTACATGCCTGCCCTGCCCGCATGCATGTGTGCCACAGGAAGCAACGGGCATAGAGAGCAAGAGTCTGCGGCTGTGCTACGACCGCCTGCAGGCGCTGCTGCTTGAGCCTTGAGGGGACTTATAACTCCCCCCCCCCCCTTCTGCATAACCCCCCTCTTGCACACCGCAGGCAGCGACGGGCATAGAGAGCAAGAGTCTGCAGCTGTGCTACGACCACCTGCAGTCGCTGGTGCTGACGCTACAGGTGGCGGAGGTGGACGAGATGGGTCACGTGCAGTGCGTGTGTGACATCGCCACGCTCGTGGGCACGTACACGCGGGGCTTCGCCATCATCATCGAACCCTATGATGAGCGACAGCCACAACTAGCTGACCCCGTGCTGCAGGTGCGTCACTGTGTGTAGGGTGGTGCTGCAGTGCAGGTGTGTGTGGGGTGGCACGTACATGCGGGGCTTCGCCATCATCATCGAACCCTTTGATGAGCGACATCCGCAACTAGCTGACCCCGTGCTGTAGGTGAGGTGGTGCTGGTAGGTAGGGTGCTTTGGGTGAGGTGGCGCTGCTATTTTTTCCCTTTCATGCCAGCTCGATTCCTATGCCCTACTCAATCTTGCTCTCTCTCCCCCTCTCTTTCCTTCTCTTACTTCTCTCTCTTGCTCTTTCTCCTGTTCCCATATCCCCTTTCGATCACTCAAGCTCTCTACTTCCTCTCCCCTTCGCCCCACCCCTCACCACCCACCTTGCCTGCAGCTGAGCTGTCTGGACGCCTCACTGGCCATCCGGCCCACCTTTGAGCGGTTTCAGAGTGTGATAATAACGAGAAGCATGCTGAGCCCCATCGACCTGTACCCGCGCCTGCTCAACTCCACCCCGTCTGCATCCGCTCCCTCTCCATGTCGCTCTCGCACGACTGCCTCTGCCCGCTCGTCGTCACACGTGGCAGGTAAAGAAGCGTTGCCATGCGTAGGGGTGTGGGAGGGTTGTCGCGTGTGAGAGGTGAGGGAGAGTTGTGATCCTATGAGGAGGTGATGAATGTGAGAGAACTTTTCGTGCCCTCTTGTTCTCAAGCTATGAAGCAAGGAAGGTGAATTGTGAGTGGTGAGGCTGGACTTTATCTGCGTTCTCTTCCACTGCTCCTACCACATTTCACCCCAAAGTGTCATTCCTGAACCTTACTAACTCTGTTGAACCTGTTGGCCCTGCCCCCACCAGCGACCATCTGCCTCTCAGCACGCGCTTTGATATGCGCAGCGACCCCGGTGTCGTGCGCAATTATGGCCGCCTGCTCGTCGACATGGCCGGGTGCGTGCCGGACGGCATCGTTTGTTTCTTTGTAAGCTACGCATACATGGACGGCATCATGAACAGCTGGAACGACATGGGCATCCTCAAGGTGGGCTCAGGGCTTGGGAGTTGGGGTGTCAGTTGTCTGGTACATGGTACCACCGACAAGGTACATGTACAAGGATTCATGTTTAGGTTCTATGTGGTGAAGGTGTAGGTGGGGAGAGAAGGATATGGGCGTTCTGAAGGTTGGATTGGGGGAATGGCCGTTATTATGCGTTAATGGTATATCCCATGCAATACCGCATCGTCTATCCCATGCCATGATGTGAGCACAAGGGCGAACACCTATTCGGTTTGCCTCGAACATGTTTGTGGCGACCCGAACGTGTCGTTCTATTTTGCCAAGAATGCTCGGCCGAACATGTTCGATGTTCACGGATTTGGTAGCCATCTGTTTCAAGCCTAGGCTGTTATTTAGGCATAGATGGCGACGCATGGCCCTGGAGGTGGGAGAAAAGGGGGGGGGGGGGGGGGGGGGGGGGGGGTTTGGAGAGGCGACGGGGAAGGAGCTGGCCCATTGAGAACACACTCTTGAACCCCAACATGTTCGGATTCGCCCCTAACATGCACATGTTCGCCCCCTATCGCGAACCTCGAACACCCTTAATCACCGGAAACTGTTCGGGCAACCCGAACATGTTCGGTTCACCCCCTTCACATGTTCGTGCAGGCGAACCGAACATGTTTGGTGTTCGCCCGTTGCTCATGTCCCATGCTATATCCCATAACATATTCCATGCCATATCCCGTGCCGTACTCCCTGCCCTGTCAGACGCCATGCCCCATGCCCTATCCCAGCCCATTCCCCATGCCATGCCCCATGCCACCCCATGTGTCATGCGCCCCATACCTCTTCCAATGCCCCATTTCCCATGCCCCACCGCATTGCACCCCTCTCCACCAGGAGGTGATGGAGCACAAGCTGGTGTTCATCGAGACACAGGACGTGGTGGAGACCACGCTCGCCCTCGACAACTACCGCCGCGCCTGTGACTGCGGTCGCGGAGGGGTCTTCTTCTCCATCGCCCGGTGACCTCTCCATTGCCAGGTGTGTGATAAGCACCCCTCCGTGTACATGCGGCCGTTAAGCACACAGTGATTGTGTGCTGCATGACAAGGTGCCGCATGCTGCCTTATAAAGTACCTTGCGCTGACATTCACTGCCGTACAAGGTGGCCTAGTTTTGCACAAGACATCAAAATGACATTCGTTGGATTTTTGTGCTCGAATGGTTTTTCCCCAAGTCCCCCAAGTCCCCCAAGTCCCCCAAATCCCCCAAGTCCCCCAATTCCCCCAATTCCCCCAACTCCCCCAACTCACCCAAGTCCCCCAAGTCCCCCAACTCCCCCAACTCCCCCAATTCCCCCAATTCCCCCAATTCCCCCAACCGGGGAATTGGAATGACCGAGGCATGGAATAGGAATGGCGCACAGGCACAGAGTAGGAATGGCGTAGAAGCACGAAATTCGAATGGCAGAAGCATGGAATAGGAATGGCAGAGGCACGGAATAGGAATGGCAGAGACATGGAGAGGAGACAAGTGGAATTGAAAACTAAACACACCCCTTACCTGCCCTGAGTCACGCTGCACCCACGCTTGCGTCGTTGCAAGCTCGCACCCCACTTGCCCAAACCCGAGACGCCTGAAAAATCGAGTCAATAGAGGGGAGAAGGGGCGGGGGAGCCAAAGAGCGGGGCATGCATTAGCGGGAGAAAAAGCTCAAGGCACGCGAGCGAGTGGATCACCGAGGTATGCCGGTACAAGGTCCTGCCTAGCCAGGCCAGGCCGAACCTGATTGGTCAGGCTGGCTGGGTTCGGTCAGACTAGCCTGGCTCGGCCGAACCTGCTTGGTCAGGTCAGGCCTCGGTAACCCCGACCTCACCGGTCCGGCTCGGCCGGGCCTGATTGGTCAGGCCTGGCCTCAATGGAGGCACGCTATAGGGATGGCGCAGATGCACGGAATAGGAATGGCGCAGAGGCACGGAATAGGAATGGCGCAGAGGCACAGCATAGGAATGGCGCAGAGGCACGGAATAGGAATGGCGCAGAGGCACGCAATAGGAATGGCGCAGAGGCATGGAATAGGAATGGCGCAGAGGCACGGAATAGGAATGTCGCAGAGGCACGGAAATGGAATGGCGCAGAGGCACGGAATAGGAATGGCGGAGAGGCACGGAATAGGAATGGAGCAGAGGCGCGGAATAGGGTTTGCAGAGGCATGCCATATGAATGGCGCAGAGGCACGGAATAGGAACGGCAGAGGCACGGAATAGGAATGGCAGAGACACGAAATAGGAATGGCAGACGCACAAAATAGGAATGACAGAGGCACGGAGAGGAGTTCAGTGGAAGACAAAAGTTACTCACAAAAAAACCCACAAAAAAAAACAAAACAAAAACCCCAAACCAAACTAACAAACAAACAACCAACGGACACGAGGCAACCTTCCCCCCGGTGGAGGTCCGGCCGGGCATCCACTGATTCGGCCGAACCAACCACCAGTTTTGCCGGACCTCCCCCAGGTCCGGCCGGACCTCCACCGGGTCCGCCGGGCCTCCATCAGGTCTGGTTGGACCTCCATCGGGTCTGCCGGGCCTCCATCAGGTCCGGTCGGACCTCCACCGGATCCGTCGGACCCACGTCAGGTCTGGCCGAACCTCCGTCGGGTCTGCCGGGCCTCCACCGGGTCTTTTGGGCCTCCACCGGGTCTGCCGAACCTTCAATAGGTTTGGCCGGACCTCTGCCGGGTCTGCCGGACCTACACCAGGTCTGTCCGGACCTCCGGCGGGCCTGTTGTCCCTCCACCAGGTCTGGCTGGACCTCCGCCGAGCCTGCCGACCAACCATCAGGTCCGGCCGGACCTTCGCCGGGCCTGCCGACCAACCGCCAGGTCCGGCCGGACCTCCGCCGGCTCTGCCAAGCCTCCAACAGTTCCGGCCGGTTCTCCGCCGGGTCTGCCGAACCAACCCCGGGTCCGCCGGACCTACACCAGGTCTGGCCGGACCTCCGACGGGTCTGCCGAACCTCCAATAGGCCTGGACGGACCTCCGCCGGGCCTGCCGAACCTCCAACAGGCCTGGACGGACCTCCGCCGGACCTACACCAGGTCCGACCGGACCTCCGCTGGGCCTGCCAGACCTACACCAGGTCTGGCCGGACCTTCGCCGGGCCTGCCATGCAGGGATAGCATTTCAGTCCGCTATCCAACTGGGATAAAAGGGCATGTTTGCATAGCGGGTGACTGCGCCCACGCCTCCCAAGCGCCAAGCTTGTAGCCCTTCTGGCCAAACTAGAGGCCAATCCCAATGTCCTTTCCACACTCTCCTCATTAAGAGCGGCCTCAGCCAGAGGAAGAAAAGTTCACTCTCACTCCACTGAAAGCGACGACAGCGGATTCGAACCCTGGCCCCCCGGACAACGAATCCAGTTCACTAACCAGCTGGGTCAAAGGGCATGTTTTCTTGGTGGGTCAGCGCACCCATACCCCCCCAGGACGACACCTGTAGCCCTTGGAGAGACCACTTCGGGCCATTCCAGTGTCCACTTCCAACACTCCCCACACTGGGAGGGCCCACCACTAGGGCACAGGAAGTTGCCGACAGCATGAATTGAACCCCGGTCCTCCACGCTCACCGCACCATGCAGGGATAGCATTCCAGTCCGCTAACCAACTGGGATAAAAGGGCATGTTTGCATAGCGGGTGAGCGCGCCCACGCCTCCCAAGCGCCGAGCTTGTAGCCCTTCCGGCCAAACCAGAGGCCAATCCCAATGTCCTTTCCACAGGCCGGACTTCCGCCGGCCCTGCCGACCCTTCACCAGGTCCGGCCGGACCTCCGCCAGGCTTGCCAACCAACCACCAGGTCTGGCCGGGCCTCCGCCGGGCCTGCCAGGCCTCCGTCAGGTCCGGCCGGACCTGGTGGGTCTGCCGGACCTCCACCGGTTCTGCCACGCCGCGCGCCACATTGCCTCACACGCCACGTCACACCCACCCCGCCGCCACGTCACACCCAAACCACCTCACCGCCACGTCACACCCAAACCACCTCACGCACGGAATAGGGATGGCAGAGGCACGGAATAAGAATGGCAGACGCACGGAATAGGAATGGCAGAGGCACGGAATAGGAATAGCAGAGGCACAGAATAGGAATGGCAGAGGCACGGAATAGGAATGGCAGAGGCACGGAATAGGAATGGCAGAGGCATGGAATTGCAAGGGGGTTGAATAGGAAAGGTGACGGGTTGCAAAGAGACGAACCTCGCCGATCCGTGCCAATGGGGAGCGCCTTGCGCTATAGCGTGTGGTGTTGCGTGCTCTGCCGCTGCTGCGTGCACGCTCTGTGGTGCTCCACGCTCTGCCGCTGCTGCGTGCACGGCACGTGCAGTCGTCTACAGAGCAGGGCGCCAGAGAGAAGAGTGGGGAGAATCGGGTGAGCAAGGGTGAGAAGACGACGAGGCGAAACGTGGGCAGAATGGGGTGCGGAGAGATGAGGCAAGGACAGGGAGGGGAGGTGTTAGAGGGGACGTGGGGCAAGAGGAGATTGAAGCCGCACGCAAGGTACTCGTGGCACGTGAGAGGGGGTGGGACGAGATGTGGGACGTGGTGGGGGAAACATGTGGCATGGTGGCATGGGCACACAGCACACTGCAGCACGCCAATGCCAATGTCGTTAATGGCACTGGGTGCAAACGCCTGCTCCAACACCTAGCATTGGGTTTAGTATCGCTGCCCGAGGGCTCTGCTCGCAAAAGCCTCGCGCGCCGCTAATCGCGTAAGAAGTGCGCAGCGCGCTGCTGATCGCGGAAGACGTGCGCAGCGCGCTGCTGATTGCGGAAGACCCGCGGGCAGCTGTTCGCCGGAGCCGCGTGCTGCAGCGGTAGAACGGGAATCCGAAAAGGTTGTTGGAACAAATAAGTCGAATAGTCAGATTGGTGGAATCGACGAAATGTCATGAATCCTAAGGCAGGCGGAATCAGCGCGAGGGGACGGACGGTGGAGACGATTTTGATTAAAAAAAAAAAAATGAAACAAACAAACAAACAGCGCGCAATGGCGCAAGTGCTGCAGCAGCGAGCGCAAGTGCCGCTGCAGCGAGCGCAAGTGCTGCTGCAGTGCGCGCCACCTAATATGGCGCTTGTAACAGGTGCTACGTCGCTCACATGGCCACGTCCCGCGTTCCTCCAAATACTACCCGCCTTCCTCCCGTTGATTCTCGCAATTCTTCCTGAAATTGAGGATCGCGTCTGAGATGAAAACTAGGGATGACGAGGTCCCTCGCGCGGAGCACGGATGGGCAACGGGCTGCAATGCCGGCTTCACGCGCCGCTCGCCCCTCCGCCGGCAGATCGGCCCTCTCATCACGCAACCTCGCGCTCCTCTCGAGCTCTCATCGCAACACATCGTTTCGTGAATAAAAAAAAACGAGAGCGTGAATTAGGTTGGAAGAAAGTACATTCTGAAAAAAGGCAGCCGACGCAATGGCCGAGCTGAAGCGGATTTGGGACCTAAAGTCAGCTTGAAAAGGGATGTCGGTTCCACCTAACTAGTAGCGTGAGTAGTGAGTAGTTGCGTGTGGACTGGTGAGTAGTAGCGGGAGTGGTAGTGTAGTAGCTGCTGAATAAGTGCATGTGGATGGTAGGTGTCGGGAGAAGGTGAGGGGACGTGAGGAGAAGCACAGGTCGACGAGGGGTAACAGGCAACGACAAAATAAAAAGAAACATGTTAGGACGAGGTGCAGATCGGGCGATTGATCGCCTCAGATCGTCCGATCGGTTCGGGTCAGATCGGATTGTCTGGGATTGCCCCGATCTGAGGCAATTTGTCGATTGCGTCCCGAGCCGCGCGATCAGACGATGAATTTCGGCGAAGTAAGTGAGAATCAGCCGCGGGGGCTCTATGCTATTCACTCGTTCCTTCCCTGCAGAGTTGGCGACACCTGGCGAAATTTTGAATCGCGCAATTACAATGTAGCCCCTTTTGGGGGGCAGGCGCGTCTGGAAAGTTCTGATATCGCGATATCCAATGGTGCTGCTAGAAGTTTTGACAGGGAGGGTTACCGTTCGCAACTGTCGCCAAACCCCGCGATCTGAGGCAATCTGTCGATTGCAATCGATCGCAAGCGATTGCGTCTGATCGGAGCGATCGATCGCAATCGATCAGATTTCCGATTGCAATCGGCAGATTGCCCCCGATTGCTTGCGATTGCATCAAAATACCCCTGCGGCTTCTTGGAAATGGTGGATTGCCCCAATCTGACGCCATCGCACTCAGGTCGGGCCGATCTGCACCGCGTCCTTATGTTGGCAGAAAGAAAAAGAAAACGATGTGGAGATGGGAAATGATTCAGAAAATTTGCGAAACACTTAACGAAAAACTTGATTCAGATCCAAACTTCTCAAAACAAGAATGTACAGTGTGGGCAGAACGAATAATAAATAGAGAGAGAGAGAGAGAGAGAGAGAGAGAGAGAGAGAGAGAGAGAGAGAGAGAGAGAGAGAGAGAGAGAGAGAGAGAGAGAGAGAGAGAGAGAGAGATAGGTGCTTGCATGCCTAGGCAGCCATGTACCAAGGAAGGTAGGAATAGTACAAGCAATGCATGCCAGGATTGCTTATGCTTCTAGGGCAGCATGTATGCCAAACTACTCATGCCATGCTTGTATCCTATGACCATTATCAATACAGGACTGCTTGAGAGAGAGAGAGAGAGAGAGAGAGAGAGAGAGAGAGAGAGAGAGAGAGAGAGAGAGAGAGAGAGAGAGAGAGAGAGAGAGATGTCAGACTTATATGCTATAGTCTGTGTAGGCTGTAGTGGGGTAGACAATATGGGGTACAACACTTTTAGGTTTTCCTACTTGTACCCACCTGTTTCCTAGTGCATTCATTCCTCGTTCTTTCACATGGTATAGAGCAGGTTCCCTAGTGGGAACGCTTCCTAGGGCCCACCACGATCGAAATTTTTTTTCCTGCCCGGAGCGCGCTTCGCTCCTACCCGAGTCGCGCCCCGTGTGCCAGCCCTCCCGTCGCGTCCCCTGCCCTTAGCGGCCCGTCGCGCCCTCTTAAGGCCCCTCGCGGCCCCT